CAAATATTCTTCATTAAAATTACATAAAATTAGGATTCAGACCAAATATTTATGTATTATTGTAACCAACAAGACAAATTAAGTCCTATATATGGATTTAATTATGATATCAGAATGATCCAGGTATCAAAATGTAGCTTTTAAAGCCAAGAATCTGAAAATATAATTAGGTCATTTTGACCAAATTTGACTTAATCCTCATTTCGATATGATGGGTCACATATTTGATACCTACTCCACCTTTACACTGAAGCAAATTCCTAGTCTGTGAATCCTGTTCATTGACAATGGCAAAAAAACTGAATCTGATAAACCATAGCGGTTTACTATCCAGAGTCAGAGGCAAAATAAAAAAGTTTTCTTTTCCTTGTTAACTGCAATGCTGTCTGTAGTTGCATGTTTTGATGAATCCATCTTAATAATTTAACAACCAGCGTCTGCTCTGGTCTGAGAGCAGATTGTTTTTTCAGTGACACATGGAACCAGAAACTTCCGCTGCACGCTCTCTGCAGCTCTGCAGCAAAACACAAGAGACAAGTGTGTCTCCACAAATAATGTTTCACCAACATGATTCTTTTGTTTTTATAGCGTTAATCACCTGAAGATTAAAACAGARMGTTGTGTCAGAGCTGCATGACAAGGACAGACTGAAGAAAAGAGAAGAAAGCTTTGTCAGAACAGAGTRCAGTACAAGAGAAACCATGACCTGTTGGGTCAAACAGCTTAAAGAAAGCGGTCCTTCATGCTACAGATGGCAATGAGGTCTTTCAACTTGATTAATTCATGGTGTAGGGGTCACCTTGAGTGAAGAAAGAAGATTTACTGCCTCAAAGCAGGCCTCAGACAGGCCTGACGAGAGGACAGGATCTCTGTCACAAACTGAACTCTATTTAGGCCATGACAGGTCATCCTAACCGTGGAAGAGAACTCCTCAGTTCTCAATCAGATAAAGGACAGAACAATCTCTTCTGTTCGTGATTCATTTGTTGTTCAACTAAGAATGTTTATGCATTTGTTAAATCATGATAATGACTGTCACAGGAAAAGTGGAACCACTTCTTTTCTTTTATCGTGCCTTAAAGAATAGTATAAAAAAATCACAGAGAATCTGATTACAATATTTTCATTGTTTTTTTATGTAAATCACTGTTTTTATTTTACTTTGAAC